AGCTAAGCTCGGTCTCCCTGGCATCCAGTCAGGCGCCATCTTGGGGCTGTGGGTCCCCACACTGGATAATTAAATAGACCTGTTTTTAACTTTTTGAAGACAAATGGGCTGTTTTCCTTAATGACCCCACTAATTTAAATCCTCACTAAAAGTATGTAAGTTCCTTTTATTACACATTATCACTATTATTTGCTGTTTCTTGCTTTTGAAATACTAGTGTTTCTACCTCGAATAAGATAATATATAATCATAGATATTTTGATTTTTAGGACTAGTAGAATATAATTATTGAAGTTTGATTCAATTTTGAAATAGTTCTATGAAACTGAAAGAATTCTAGTCTTGAATCCACTTTGTTTAGATTATTTGTAGTTACACATAGCTACATGTTAACACAGTTTTATCATAATGCTGTTACCCCAATATCTCTCTTTCACACAGATAGTTTAAAACACTATTTTTTCTGTGGATTCTCCATGCCTAGCATATTAAATTACTATGTAATGGTTCACAATGTCTGGTGTATAATTAAACACTCTAGAAGTGATATGATTTTGAATATGATTTTAAAATTTACTTACTGTATAATGGTAATACTTCAGTGACACCATAATACTGTAGTCTGATTTATTTAGAAATGTGGACTTAATACTTACTGACTTATTTATATGATTTATTAATTATCTTCTAAGTTATATAATAATATATTGTCCATAAAACTTTGTGCATGCTTCTGTGCACAAGTGTGTGTGTAGATGCACTCACTCATTCATGAATCTGTGCAAAAGAGGGCATGGATGCTCGCATCCACTCATCTCTGTACAGCATGTGTGGATGCACTCACCCATGGGTCTGTGAACTAGTATGTGTGGATGAACTCATCCAAGCATCTGTGTGCAAGTGTGTGCAGATGCACTCATCTATGCTGTAGCATATAGATAGAGACCAGACATTAGGGTATTTTCAGTTACTAATTCTCATATTAACATGTTGAAACAAGATCTTTCACTGATCTTGGAGCTCATTAATTTTACACATTGGAAAGTCAGAAAAAGCCCAGGATCTTTCTGTCTTCATTCACCAGTGCTTAGATGATAGATATGAGACAAAATGTCTTTCTTCTACATGAAAACTAGGAATCCAAATTTAGGTGGTCATGTTTGCACAGCAAACATCTAACACACCAAGTCATTTCACCGTCCTTTCTAAAGTAGTTTTATATAGTTTGCAGATGCCTCTTTAGATGGGTATTTAACCGTTTCCATAGAAATATTTTTCATATTAGATACCATTGAATATTTTTCAGTTTAGTCAACATAAAAACTCTTGAACTGATTTTGGTTTCTTTGATTAATAATGTTATTAACATTAATGTTATTTATCTTCTCTAATTTAGAATGGATAAGAAATTTTCAGCTGTTTATTACTTCAGCTAGACAACTTAAATATTAACTTATTTAATTTGTAACTATCTGTATTTGAAACACAAACTACTAAAACAAAAATGAGTAAGCAAAAAAAGTGACAATTCTATTATGAAACTATATTTTATTTTTAGGCACTTAGTGAATTTTAGTTTCTTGGTTGTCTGACATTAAATTATCAGTTATCATATCAAAGGGATATATGTAGCTTTGGCATTGGATTCTCTAAAGTGTATGACACTTTAATGAGCATGACTTATGATTCCTTACAAGTTTGATATTTAACAGATCAAGGTAAATTAAATATGAAAGAGAAGGGTACCATATGGTAAGCTCCCTAGGAGAAATTATAGTACACTGCTGCTATTATGATAATGATTTCTTATATTCATTTTTATACAAAAGAAGAGGAAATGAGGAATCATTATGAGCAAAGAAGAAAGCATGGTACAGAATAATATTAGAGTTAACTAAACCCATCTTCTTGTACTTACCCAATTTAAACACTTGTGAAGGGCTAATACACTGGATTATAGCAATATCTTATAGAATATAAAAATCTTTTTGTCTTATACCTACAGGGTTTCCAATTCATTACTGCAGAAATTATATTATTGTCTATTAAAGAAGATGGATTTAAAATGCATGTAGAAACCCTTCTCTAGATTTATATATCCTTACCTAAATAAATTCATTCAGGTCTCCACTTCAGCTCCCCATGTGTCAGAATTAGATTATGAAACTCAAAACAATAGCACCATAGCTTCCTTTTCTGGACAAGTGACATGTCAAGTCTTTTCTTTTTTCATGTTATATTTGGGATAATATCCTCTTATATATTCATATGTTATTGCTTCTGAACTATCACAAATTCAGCAACTCAATTTAATAATGATTATTCTTCCTTGTTTCCTAACTTCTCTAGGGTGTGAACTGCAGGCTGATTATCCTTTGCTGTATGTCTAATATCCACTTATGAGTAAGTACATACATAGTTTTCTTTATGTGACTGATTTACCACACTCAGCAGAAACAGAGATTGACAGCTAACACGGAGCTTAACTCCTAGAATCCAGTTGTAGAGAGAGAGGAGTGATGAGGAAAGGAGTCAAGACCATGCTGGGGAAACCCACAGAAACAGCTGACCTGAGCAAGTAGGAGCTCACTGACCCATTCTGACAGTGGTAGAACCAGCATAAAACCAAAACCAGCACCCCTGGATGTGGGTGTCAGTTGTAGGGCTTGAACAGTCTATGAGGCCACTGGCAGTGGAACAACTATGTATCTTTAGTGCACAAATGGGCTGTGGGAGCCTATTTGCTATGGAGGGATACTCTCTCAGCCTTGATACATGGGAGAGGACCTTGGTCTTCCCCAAATGGTGTGACAGATTTTGATGATCCCCATGTGAGGCCCCACCCTCCCAGAGGAGTGGATAGGGGGTGGGATGTCGAGATGGTGGGGGGAAAAGGGAAAAGGAGGGAGAGGCTACTTGGATTGGTATGTAAAATAAGATTGTTTTTAAATAAAATTAATTTTAAAACTTTGGTAATGAAAATGAATTGTCTAAATAATACATGGATAAACAACAAGTGTGTAGAAATCCATCTAGCAACGTTTCACATAAAATACACCAAGTCATTACTTCCAGCTGTGTTTGTAGCAAAAATTAAAACTGATGTCATCAATGTTGAGGAGCATATAGACTGTGATCAGTCTAACTCACTGTTATAGATATTTGGAAGTATGTTTGGGATATCACCAGAACTTTCTTAGAAAGTTAACAGTGTCTTTATCATACAGTTCAGTGAGGTCACTGCCATGTGTTTGTCTTAGAGAAATAAAATTTTTGATTTGGGTGCAAGAGAGATGGTTTAGTGGTTAAAAGCACCTGCTGTTCTTTGGTGTACATAATATTATTTTTAAATTATATAGTTTTAATAGTATTCAATGAAGTAAGCATTAAATCCTTTCTTTTGAAAACTGTCCTATCATTATAATAGATTTTGCAACCAGGAAACCTGTAGAAAGCATTAAACAAACATTCTGCTCTATTTAGGCAAATTCTAAGCCACTGGTACTTCAGAAAATAACAAGTTATTTTTGTTTAGCTTCTTGGTCAAATAAATTTATTTTCTCTATGAAAATATCTTCATAGAAAATTGCTTTAGCTCTCAGCAGCCCATTCCTGAACTCTGAGGAAGCTTGCCTTCTTTAGAGCAACCTGATCTTTCTTCTGGGCAAGGGATATTTTGGGGCAGTCTACCTCTTCATCTTCACTTCTCTCAGGCTTCTGCTTATAGACTGGAATCTCTCAGAGAGCAGCATGAGCTTTCTTATACATCCCTTCCATCATGTCTGGAGTTATGTTCTTCTTTATACATCAAAAGGATTGTTCTTGTAATCATCTTCATTATCTTCATTAGGCAATGCATGTAGTCTGAAACACTCTGACTCAGGCTGTACTTCTGTCATTCCTCTGCATTGAATCCTGTGCTTTCAGAATCATCACCAGGGAATTATTTGTTACTATGAGGAGCATAAAAGCCTCCATTCACAGATCACTTTGGGGCCCCCAAAACATTTTTTTCCAGTTGTAGTTTGGGCAAGACATGCATCCAAATAGCAAGTAAAGACAACAGGCTGACCGGCCATTAATGCTTCCCATATTGTATTCATCTCCAGACACATCCACTTGCTCTTCATAGACATTGTCCATACATAACTTGTCAAGAAGCCTGCTCATCAGAAGCAGGCCAGTATAATAGACTGTAGCATAATTTGTAAGACTAACTTTCCTACCATATTTTGGCAGCTCATATGCCTATGCTGAACAGACTATCATATCCCCTTCTACAAAGGCATATGCAATCTGAAAGATAATGTCTCTTTTAGGTGCCCAAATGGCAATCCTGTCTTTATATGTGTTGTAATTATTTCTGTCCTGGGTTACCAGTCATTTCTGAGTATAGTAGTCAGTTTTACCCTCTCACCATTTTCTAAATGTCACTTGGCACCTCTTAAACTAAGTCTTATTCTTGACAACTTTTAGAAACCCTATTCTGTGGAAGAGAAACCTGCAATCACAGTGCCATATAGACCAGAAGACCTAGTGGCACTAGGGTAAAATGTCTGAAGCATTATATAATAGATTATTTTTGAAGGATCATGCAAACAGAAAAGAAACTTTAAATGTGTATAAAGTGACACTATGCAAACTTACATCTCATTGTGAAGATTGCTCTGCTTCTGCTAATATTCTTGTCATCTCCCTTAACTGTTCTTGATGTTCCCCACTGCCTCCTCTGAAGCAATCATCTCAGACAAAATGATATTTCATAGGAAATGATGTGTTATAATCGTTTATGCTATAGATGTTCTTCTTGCTAATTTCCTGTGCAAATTTTTACCTGGAAGAAAAAAAAGCTTAGTAAAAACAAAAGAATCTTATTTCCATTTTTTTCAAGCAACAAACTGTATATCTCATTTTGCTACAGTTTAAACTCCTATTGAAATCATAAATGTTATCTGTCCAATATACAACTACCAGTGTTAGGAAAGGAAAAGGTATAATGTTTAGAGTAAAATGAACGAACATACGTATCTGCCTCTGTAACAAAACCAAGTTGAGGAATAATTTGACACTCTAAGCAGGTAAGTTTTAGAGATTGTGTATTGAAGGATATAAAAGGTAATATATGGGCATGTTTACAGTCTCTTTAAATAAAAAATAAAGTGGTTGGAAACTAAGGCTATCAGGATAGAATGAAACTTTCATGTAATAAACTTAATGAAGACTAGGAAATAGACTCTGCCATCACCTCGAAATTAGGCACAGTACCTAACTTTGGAATAAAGGCAGAAGCTACAGGTATCATTTTGAAAAACTACGGAGGAAGCATACATACATCTCAAATACTCTCTTAGTAAGACTTACAAGATCTTACAGATAAACAGGTATTGGGACTTCCTGTTGTAAAACATGACTGAGACCTTCCTTCTTTTACGGCATTCAAGATGTTTTTGTGGAAACCATGATCAGTTAAGGCCATTTTTTTTCTAGTGGCAGAATATGACATTGGAAATTGTTTGGTCCTGTTTTAAGACACATTTAGCTATGTTTATAGTATTGAAGATAGAAATTGTAATTATATATAAGGTTTAATTGTTTAAAAATAGAATCTCCTGATCACTAATGGTGCAAATCTAATGCATTGTCTTATGTGCATCCATTAGTAGAAGATAGAGAAGTCTACAAAAGGAAATCTGCTATTCTTAATAAGTGACCTATGCATTTTTTCTTAAAAATCTAATCTGTTGTCCAGATGTCTTGCCATAGGTAATAAATTCTGAGATTCACTGTCGTTGTCACACAATTGTCAAAGTCTTCTTTTTTATTTCTTTTAATTTAAATTAGAAACAATCTTATTTTACATATCAATACAAGTTCCCTCTGCTTCCCATCCTCCCATGCCCCCACTATACCCATCCCCTTTCTGCTCCCCAGGGAGGGTAAAGCATTCCATGGGGGATCATCAAAGTCTGTCACATCATTTGGGGCAGGACCTATGCCCTCCTCCCAAGTGTCTAGGCTGAGAGAGTATCCCTCTATGTGGAGTGGGCTCCCAAAATCCATTCCTCAATTAGGGATAAATACCGATCCACTACCAAAGGCCCCATAAATTGTTCAAATCTCCAAACTGACATACTCATTCAGGAGGTCTGGAACAGTCCTATGCTGGTTTCCCAGCTATCAGTCTGAGGACCATGGGCTCATATTTAATATCTACATATTATTGTGTAAGATTTTAAATATATTTTTCTTCAGGCTGTGAACTTTCTTTTTGTTTTCTTATTTCTTCCATCAAAGGGCAAAAATGTGTTTCTTTTTCCTAAGCCCTTTGTTTCTTCTTTTATGAAGTCCAACTTATCTTTTTATTTTTAGTTAGTATTCTTGAAATTGTATCTAAGAAATATGAACTGAAGCCAGCAACTCCCAAAGTTGCTTCTTTTTTACTGTCTTTTGTTGATGAAATATTTATAATTTCGTGTTCACAGTTACCTTTATAATAAAACTCTACAGAATCACAATTTATTTGAGAAACTTTTGTTCAATATGAACAATTTTCCAAAATTTCTATTCAATTTTTGTCAAGAATTTCCAGCCTGATGTGTTGGAGAAGCTATAGTGTCCAGTAGAAATCAGAACATCATTGCCATTTCTCAACTGCTAAAATATATTTTGATTTTCTGTGTTTTTGGAGCTTTGTGTTTGGTATTTGTCACTGAGACAAAACACTTAAGTAAAACATATTTACAAAGAAAAGCATGTTGCCTCTGAATGCTTCATAAATTTCCATATGCTGAACTATGGCTGATTTAAGGAAACATTACGGCAGTAGAGCTGTGTGGCCAAGAACCTTGCTCATCTGTAACAATCAGGAGTTGGGAGAAAGAGAAGAGGCACAAAGATGGATTCATGGTAGAAATCTTGGCTTCCAAAAGCATGGGATCTACTTTTGTGCATCCTTTAACTAGGATCTACCCCTTAATAGCACATTAATGAAGTTAGCTTGCTCGATAACTACAACCCTCAATAGCTTCATCTTCAGGGATTTTGTCTTCAAGAAAAGGGACTGTTTAGTGTCACTTCATAGCCAGACCATTAAAATTTCATTGACTTTGTCTGTGACTCTCACTTTTATCTCATTTTTTAAATTGATTTTTCTGGTATAGCAGTTTGTATAAAATTCCCTTGTGGCAGACATGGCTAAATTAGCCTAGTCAGTGGATTGTATTTTAGTGTATTATGGGCATCTCATTGCACAATCATTCACAAAGAGGTCTATCTTTCCAGTGTTTATTTTGGAAGTTTGACAGTTGAGTGTGTTGCAACTCAATGTCAAAGCTTCTTCAGTTTGTGTTCCTTCCTATTTGTTTGTGGTTTAACAACTAGTGATACTCTCAACTTTTTCTAAGTTGTCAAATTCTTGATGCCAGTAGTAAATACTTTTAAATGCAATTTGGGAAACATGTTTGAGATTCCTGTTAAACTGGTATAACTTGGGACCCAGCTCTCTGTCCACATTTTTTAAATTACTCATATATAAACATTTCAGTATAAAGTTTTGGAGATTTAAGAATATCCTCTTTCCATTCATCTATCTTGATAATATTTTATTCAAGTGGCCTGGCCACTTACCATAAACAGGGTTGATTTTCACTGGTGAATTTAATGGTTTATCAACATGGAATGTAAGACTCTAGCCCAGACCCAGAAACACAGAAAGAGAAACATGAAGTTTCATCTAGTAAAAGATGGAAGCAGATCCACAGCTAAGTATTGGACCAAGCTCCTGGACGACAGTTGAAGAGAGGGAAGAAGGATTGTATGAGCAAAGGGGTCAAGGTAATGATGGGGATACACACAGAGACAGCTGACCTGAGCTAGTGGAAGCTCACTGACTCTGGACTGGCAGCTGGAGAGCCTGCATGGGTCTTCCTAATGTGGGTGACAGTTATGTTGCTTGATCTGTTTGTGAAACCCCTGACAGTGGGACCAGGGTTTATCCCTAGTACAAGAACTGGCTTGTTGGGGCCAATTCCCTATGAACGGATACTTTGCTCAGCTTTGATAGGGGTCGGGGACTTGGTCTTGCTTTAACTTGATATGCCAGGCTTAGTTGACTCCTCATGAGAAGCCTGACCCTCTCTGATGGTGGGTGGGTGGGGGGTTGTCAGGGATGTGGGGGTAGCAAAAGGAGGGGTGGGAGGTTTCTATGCACAATGAATAAAAATAAAACTTTTGTAAGAAAAGATGTGAAGGATTCAAATGATGAGAAAAAAATAATTGGAAACATAGAAATTAACTAACTTAGAATTAGCATATAGCCCAAATTTACTACATTATCATACACAATACAAAAGAATTATTTTAAAAGAATGGGTATTGCCACTACCTGTAACACAATAAATAAATGATCCAGAGATTGACATTGTGATTCAAGCTTCAAGCTGAAAATCAGAAAAGCAGAGCAGCTAACCCAGAAGCTCTTACCTTTACCTCAGACTGAATGGGCTGAGTCTGTCTCCACGAGATCTCAGAAAGCCTAAGACTGCTGCCTCTACTTAGGATGGTTGGAGAATAATCCTGAGACTCTACTGAAGACATTGGTTGTATCTTTTATAACTCTCTAGTGCTAGGATTAAAGGCATGTGCTGTTACTCTTTTAGAATGATTCAATCTCATGTAGCCATGGGTGGCCTTGAACTCAGAGAGATCTATCTGCCTTTGTCCCCTGAGTCCTGGCATTAAAGGTGTGTGTCTGGCTTCTGTGACTAACTAGTATGGCTGCTTTGCTATTTTGATCTCCAGTGGCTTTAATAAACTATGAATAATGTATCACCAACACACATTTGAGTATGTAATTTAAACCAGACTAAGTTTTCATCAGAAACTATGTAGGTAAAATGCAACAATTCAAGTGTAGTTGACAAGTAATACATTTCTAAATTAAAAACAAAAATATACTATCTCTTTGTAAAATAAAAGAAGCTGAGACTCTTTAGCCACATTAATAACATCCAATACTCATTAACTGGTTAAAATAGATTTGAGATACAAACACCCAACAACACACATCCAGTAAGAACTGCATGTGAACCCTGGTTACTTTGCATATGTCTACCAAATCCTGATGTCATTCTCAGATTTGATTAGAAACAAAGAGATTTTAATTCAGTTATTCCTTCTGTGGGAATAAAGAACCTATTGTCATCAAAAATATTTCTTGAAGAACAAAGTGAAATCACACAAAGCTGTTTCATTATATTTGCAAAGTAAATTGTCAAGAGTTGTAGGTTCCTACTTGCTGTTAAGTTTCTGTGTGAAGGAATTAGTAGAGGTATCAAGTAGGGCACAATGGCTACTCCTTTCAAATATTGCAAATCTAGCAAAAGACTAGCTTGATAACAGTGGAAGTAGAAGGTAACAATGTAGTAGAAAGAAAATATGGGAAGATTCACAGAGAAAACAGTATTTTAACCAAGTAATAAAATCTCAGTAAAACTTTGCTAGTGGATGGGACATTTAAGAAGAGTCTTCAACAAAAGTAGTACTATGTGGGCTGATTCAGAGAATATGATTTATTTATGAAATAAACCATGCTTGAAACTTAAGTATCTTTTGTGTAAAGATGACATGGAGTCAAGGTGAAAAAGGGACCTATGTAGCATAATTCTGTGATTTTGCTCACAAATTATAGAAAATATATTTTTCATTACATGAACACAGATACAGACAAAAACAGTAGAGAAAGAAAAGACATAGGGTAATTTTTATCCCCAGTATTTAATACTCACTCTAAAAAACATTTTTCATATTCCTCTGATCTACTGCATTTATTGTGTTGGAGTACTGATGCTGGTGTAATGGATTTATTTAAAAACAAATGAACAATATGTAGCTGTCTTAAAATATATAACTACTTTCATAATGTTAAATCATTTCAGCCAGGAGAAAGAAATAATATTATATGTTGAGAAAAAAATGAGAAGCCTGAAAATGTTTGAAGATACCTAACGGCAACTCTATCCCTTGAATAATTGGAGTTATACTTTAATTTCTATTATAACCTTAAATTATACAGTATTCTTACATCAAGTAAGTTTATTGTGAAAACTATTGTCAGATTTAAAATATTTAAAAGAAGCACACAAGATTACCACTAGTGACAATATATATTTACAATTCTTTGTTCAGAATATTAACATATCATATTTACTAATTACTATGAAAAATAATTAGTGGATATGGTAAAGAAAACAACTAGGTATTGGCACAAAAAGAGAGAGGTCGACTAGTGGAATTCAATTGAAAACCCTGATATTAATCCACACACATTTGAACACCTGATTTTTGACAAAGAAGCTAAATTTTTATACAATGGAAAAAAAGAAAGCATCTTCAACAAATGGTGCTGGCATAACGAGATGTGGACATATAGAATATTGCAGATAGATCCATGATTTTTGACAAAGAAGCTAAATTTTTATACAATGGAAAAAAAGAAAGCATCTTCAACAAATGGTGCTGGCATAACAAGATGTGGACATATAGAATATTACAGATAGATCCATCTCCATGCAAAAACATAAATCCAAATGGATCAAAGTCCTCAATATAAATCCAGCTACACTAAACTTCCTAGAAGAAAAAGACGGAGGTAACCTTGAATGAATTGTTACAGGAGACTGCTTCCTGAACATAACACCAGTAGCACAGACACTGAGATTAACAATTGATAAATGGGACCTCCTCAAACTGAGAAACTTCTGTAAGGCAAAGCACACAGTCAACAAGACAAAATGGCAGCCCACCAAATGCAAAAAGATATTCACCAACTCCACATCTGACAGAGGGCTGATTTCCAAAAAAAAAAAAAAAAAAAAAAAAAAAAAAAAAAAAAAAAAAAACGCAAGAAGCTAATACCAAAACACCAAATAGTCCAATTAAAAAGTAGGGTATAGAACTAAATAGAGAATTCTCAAAAGAGGAGTCTCAAATAGCTGAAAGACTATTTGAGACTATTAAGAAAGCACTCAGCATCATTAGCCATCAGGGAAATACAAATCAAACACCTGTGAGAAATCATCTCACACCTGTCAGAATGGCTAAAATCAAAAACACCAATGACAGCTTATGCTGGAGAGGATGTGGAGAAAGAGGAACACTCCTCCATTGCTAGAGGGAGTGCAAACTTGTACCGACACTTCAGGAATCAGTATGGCGATTCCTCAGGAAGATGGGAATCACTCTACCTCAAGACCCAGCAATTCCACTCTTAGGCATGTACCCAAAAGATGCACATTCATACAACAAGGACATCTGTTCAAATATGATCATAGCAGTATTATTTTTAATAGCCAGAACCTAGAAGTAACCTAGAAGCTCCACACCTGAAGATTGGATAGAGAAAATGTGGTACATTTACATAATGGAGTACTACTCATCGGATAAAAAAACAAGGGACTCTTGAAATTTGCAGGAAAATGGATGGAAATAGATGAAACCATCCTGAGTGAGGTAACCCAGTCACAGAAAAACAAACATGGTATGTACTCACTCATATATGGATATTAGACATAGAACAATGATTACCAGTTTATAATTCACACCTCCAGTGAAGCTAAGAAACAAGGAGGACCCCAAGAGAGACACACATAGTCCCCTGGAGAAGGGAAAATGTACAAGAGCTCCTGAATAAATCTTATGAAGTTTTTGAATTTTGGATTTATAGAAAAAGTTAGAAATCAATTAAAATGAATACAACAATCCTCTAAGATGTGTTTTATAGAAGAAAATGTGAACCTCATAATGTGGGATCACTAATATGTTGTAAATTAGTTGGTAAATGGAGGTTAATATGATTTTTAGAAATCCTGTCCTTATCCTCACAAAAGGGAAATAGATTGTGTTGTTTGAAGCCAGGAATGGGACAGGGTTGTCATAGTACTCAAGCAGACACACTGCAGGCATATGAACATACTGTTAGCTTTGTATAGTTTGGTCTAAACAGAATTAAATAATAAATGGGTACAGTGCTTAGGACAAGGTGGCTGGTTACATAAAAATATGAAATGGTAACAATAAATGAGGAGAGTGTAAAGAATGTGGTTTGGAAAGATTGCCAGGGTTATTTGAATTTTGAATAGAGCTGCTGGTACCAGTCAAAAGGATAATGTACCAGGAGGAATACTCAACACAATTATGTTCACATTTGACAAATCACATTGCTATTTTCTATTGTAATCTGGAGGGTCTGAGATTATCCTAGATTAGAAAGGTTTAAGTATACTTATCATGGAAAAACAATGGAAATTTGGTAAAGCGGGAAATTACCAATACGGAGCCAAGTAGAAATACAAGGGTAATTAATAGGGAAAAGCCTTACTTACAGAGCGACCTAGCCAGCCGGCGTGGTCTGTACAGCAAGCGAGAAGCAAAACCGAAAGTGAAACCCAGCCCCCTGAAACTCTTACTCTATGTCACCCTGACCATGCCCTCGAAGGCGTGGTCAGGCACACCCTTAAGCGGGCAGCTTCCCCTATAATTCCCCTTTTAGTCTAAAAGAGGATTAAAACTTAACAGTGTACAGTAATTAACAATCATAAAGGTGAAATATAAGAAGATGCAATAATCTGCTTATGTCACATCCTAACTATCTATTTTAACTAAATCCTAAAGTCATCTGAGAGAGGTATTGTAGGGGAAGCTGCCCACTTATGGGTGTGCCTGCCCATGCCTTCCAGGGCAGCTTCCCCTACAATTTGGCATTGAAAATAACCTTTAAATTATTTGCCCATTGGTTCTGCCCTAGAGTATTCTGAGGGTGGATTCAGTGTGGATGCTACAATTAAGTTGTTATCACTGGATTTGATAATAGCTAACAGTATACACATAGAGAAACAAACCTATTGAGACTAAGGATTTTAAAAATCTTCCATTTTTAGGCATAAAGAGCAACTAAAATTTGGTCTATATAGTTTGGATTTTTAATGTTGGACAAGTTCATTCTTTTTTGTTTGTTTGTTTTTTAGTTTTTTAGTTTTTTATATATTTGAATTACAAACAAGATCGAATTACATGACGATCCCAGGTCCATTCTCCCTCCCTTCATCCTCTACCACCCCCCCCAACAAATCCTACCTATCTTATGTCCTTTCTTCTAATCTACACCTGACTCAAAATTTCTGCTTCCTAAAATTTTTCATTCTTCTCTCATTACATCTTGACTACGGTGTCCCCTACCTACTCTTCTCCCAGTTACTCCTTAAATACCTCCTCTCCACTCCAGATTCACTCCTCCTCCTTTTCCCCTCATAAAAGTGCAGGCCTCCCAGGGGTATAGTCTGAACATGGCATACAAGTTACAACTAGCCCCAGAGCCTCATATCAAAGTTTGATGAGGCAACCCAGTAGGAGGAAAAGGGCCCCATGAACAGTCAAAAGAGTCAGCAACAGCCCCTGTGTATTATTAGGACTCTCACAAGAATACCAAATCACACAACCATAATATATGCAGGAGACCTGGATCATACCCATACAGATTCCCTGATTGTTGCATCAGTCTCTGTGAGTCTCTGTGAGCCCCAGGTTAATTGATTCAGTTGGCCATGAACTTATGGTGTTCTTGAACCCACTGGGTCCCAAAACCTTTCCTTGCCATCTTATGCAGGCTTCCCTGAGCTCCACCTAATTCTAATTCTTGGCTATGGGTATCTACATGTGCTCCTAACAGTTACTGGATCAAGCTTCTCTGGTTACGATTATGCTAGGTTTTGGTCTGAGAGTAAAGCAGAATATTATTAGGAATCATTTAATCCACTTTTTTGTTCGTTTGTTTTTGCCAATCATGTTTGGTTTTCCTAGGTCTCTGGGACACCCAGCCTCTTGTTCCTGGGCATCCAGGCAGTGTTGGGCCTGGGCTCCCTCTCATGGTGTGGACTTCAAGTTAGAACAGTTGGTTGGTCACTCTCACACATGTTGCACCACTTTTTACCCCAGCACATCTTGCAGACAGGAGAAACCAGGTGGAAGGTTTTGTGGTTGGGTTGGTGTCCCAGTCCCTCCGCTAGAAGCCTTGTCTGACTAGTAAAGACTCCTAATAATTGGGATATGGACCCTGCACAGACCATGTTGGTTAGGACTTTTCGAACTGCTGGGGATTTCATTAAAACTTTTCAGTCTCTATGGGGTTCACTTTGAATTTTCAAAGTATGAATTATTTGATCAAAATTCTTCTAGCTTCACCTTAAAATCTCTCTATACTTTCATCTTTACACTCTCCTTTAGTTCTCTCAGCAAGCTGCACCTCACTTCTTTAGCAGAACTGATGTTTCTCTCTGTTCTCCTGTCTCCACCTGCTTTCCCTTCTTTCCGATCAATGTGCTATCCCATTTGCTTTCTTTTCCAGATCAATATTTTGAGATGCTTCAGTAGCATGAACTCTTTAAGAACCTCCCCTAGATATGTGCTCTGTACCTTTGTTTAAAATCTGCAATTGTGTATTGAGCTGATCAAGGTGAAAGAAGGGATGCTATCTGGATTTAGAAAAAAATTCATTATGATCTTATTCTGAACACTTCAGCCTTGCCACTTGGAGAACAGATTTTCCCAGTGAAGGTATCAATACTTAAGATTGAGCATGAATTGAAAATATAAAATAACTCTAAGAGAATACTGACAACTGCAAATGTAAGAGTAGAGACTTTAAGCATAATGTGTGTGGTAGGGGTTTTGAGTGACTTGTAATATGCCTCTGTTGTGTGTTCTTACACAAATAATACAGTAGAAGAAAAATAAGTAAGTATGAATAAGTTAATTCCAATAGAGACACTGAATGTATAAGTCTTTGCATTGTCTTGGACAGATACCAGAGAAAACAACTTAACTGACAGAAGATTTATTTAGCTCTTGTTTTTTTAGTTCTTGTTAATTGGCATCATTACTGTGGCCAAAAGCTAGGATGAACTTTACAGGGGAACAATGAGTTAGAGCAAATCTACTCACCTCACTGTGCCCAACAAGCAGAGGGAAAGGGGGCTGTAGGGAGTTAAAATACCTTCCCAGTAAATGCCACAGTGACATGCTTCTTCCAGCTAAGTCTGACCTCATATTTTCCATAAAGAATAATCATTTTATTCAATAATTTATAAAATTAATTCCATAATAAATTTATTGTATAGTTTATAATAATGATAATTTCACCAACAAAATTATTTTACAACAATACTATTATATTATGAATCAAACATTGTTGAAGTTAGAATCCTCAATATAAAATCACTTCACTAAACTCAGCTCTGACCCCTGATTTAGTGAGACATGAAACTCAACCTTCACCCTCAGAGTTCTTATTTGCCTTACTATGGAAATGTTGGCTTAATAAATAAGCAAATGTCCATGTTAGAATTATTCTACTCAGTCTGGAAAGGTAGCTCAGGTTTTAAGAGCATTTATTGCTCTTCCAGTGGACCTGTGTTTCAGTTCCCAGCTTCAGGGGATTACAATGTAAGTCCAGCTTCAGGGGATTACAATGGCGTTGCCCCCATGGGAACTGGAACTCCTTCATGTATACATATATAGACACATACATAAACATACACATAATTAAGTTGATGTGAGGATAAATAAACATTTCCATTAACACTTTCTCTTTGTGGAGTGCACATTTGATCTCTAAGAATTTTATAGTATATCCAACAGTTCTTAACTTTTGACATTCTTACTAATACATCAAAATAACATAGTAAAGTAGTATACAAAGAAAAAGTAGTAAGTTTTATGGTAAGTTCTATTTAACTGAACAGGTTTGAATAACAGTAAAATTTTTGTAATCTTCCAAGAATTGACATGTATTTTGAGCTTGCTTATGTAGAAGAATTGAATTCAAATAGCCATTCCATGTTAAGAGATTAGCAGTGCCAAAATAACTACTCAATTTTTGAGGCAAGTGCAAATTTAATGCCAGAATGACCACTTAAGCGAATGATTTAATTTCTGGCTTATTTTCTCATTTAAAATAATTGCTATGCATCCTTCTAATTTTTTACTGAGTGACCTAGAAGTGTTGGTCTGTACTACATAAAGCCAATTAAGACAAAATACCCCTGAAAGCTCTATCTTTCTATCATCTGTCTTTCCTTCCATCCATCCATCATCTACCTACCTATTTAACAGAGTTTATACTTTATGTTCCTGCTTATGACAAACAGCAAGGGTATCTATCTTAGTCATATAAATTGTTCCTTCAGATAGGCATTCAAATAATGCATTTAATATTATTTGATCTTAAGTTATCACACTAAATATGTTGAATCCACAATGACAATAAACTATCCATCTTAATACTCAATCTACTGATTATTCAAAAAGTTAGAATATAATTAATTTGCATCTTTTGAGATTTCAGAATGTAATTTACCATTATTTTATAATAGCCTCTTTATTCATTTTCCAACAAACATTAAATATGTATAAAATGCAAATTTAATAACAAGACTAGCACACTTAATGTTATTGATGCATATAAATTCCTAGATGGGCACTCAACTCAGACACAAACAATGAAATTCTTAAGAACAGAGATTATTCAACTTTTAAGAGAGTCTGAGAAATACACAATATCTAACTACAAAAAACATATAATGTCATGAGGTATTAAAGTCAGTTTGATATTTATAGCTAAGAAGGTAAAACGACTCACTAGTATATGTTTTCCCTTCAACAGTTTTCCGTTCTTGAATGTTTATTTTCAATTAACTTTTACATTTTTAGTTAATTCGGGTTATATGGATTAATCAATATGATAAAACTTAATATTTATGATCTGTCAATACAGTGATTTTTAATGTTTTCAAAGTTGTATGTGAATAAATATATCAGTAATTTTAAAGTATGGATTGAAGAAATAAGAGCAACCATGATGAATTATGATCTTCACATAATGTTCTGGATTATACATTAGATTTATTAGAAAAATGCAATGATGAAGAAAATAGAGGAAAAATATGAAGGAAGAAGGAAAATAGTTTTATTGATTTTGTAATATTGATTTTTTAGTGACATGCCACAAAAAAATTTTATCTTGTACCACTTTTTATCCACAAAGACAGGAAAAAATGATATAATTTTAAGCAAGCATGGATGAAGAGGCATCTAGTATTTAGATGGGTAAAGGTAGAAAAATGTAAGTATAAGTAAACAAAAATCCATCAATATATGTAAATAAGGGTATTCATTGCAGTGTTTGTTAACGTAATTAAGGATAACTTCATATAATGGAATACATTGTTGACTTATGTTATGTAGATAGGATTGACATTTATAATGATAAAGAGATTTAATGTTATTAAAAACATGCAAGCACTTAAGGCTTAGATATGAGGTTTCAGACAGCTATGTTATACTTCACAAAGATTTATGTTTGTTTTTAGACTT